GGGGGCGGGAGAGGGAGAAGCAGACTCCCCATTGAGCAGGGAGCCTGACTTGGGGCTTGAGACCATGACCTGAGCCAAAGGCAGATGCTTAACTGACTGAGCCACCCAGGCGCCCCAGCATTGCCAGATGTTTAAAACCATACTGGTTGGGCTTCTTGTTGGGGGTGACGAGGAGGAGAGAAGTCCTGTGAGGCCAGGCTCATCCAGGTCAAGGCTGTCTGAGGTAACTGCTTTGCCCCAGCAGGGGTTTTTGTGTATTGCGGGTGGAGGTGGCCAGGTGTCGGTGTTACCCACTCAGATTCTGACCCCTGCAGTGAGAATACCATGCTGTGGTCCTGCGGTCCAGCAGGGCCTCACCTCAGCCAGGTGAAGCTGCAGGGCTCTGGGGGAGAGAGCAAGTCACCAGGATGCCAGGGCAAGTGACACTGCTTGGCCCAGGGTGCACCTGGAAGGGCCAAGCCAGGCATTTCTTGGGTCTGTGCAGGTGACCCTCTTCGAGAGCTGGGCAGTGAGTGTGGGATTGAGTTTGATGAGGAGAAGACGGCTGTCATTGACCATCACAACTATGACATCTCAGACCTTGGCCAGGTAATCAAGCCCTTACAGCAAGAGCTCAGCCTGGAAACCGAGAGGAGGTCCGGAGGGAGTCCTTGACATGGGGGCACCTTTTCCTGACCCCCGTCTTTCCCTCTGCTGCTGCAGCATACGCTCATTGTGGCTGACCCCGAGAACCTGTTGAAGGCCCCAACCATTGTCGGGAGATCATCTCTGAACCCCATCCTCTTTCGAGGTGTTGGGTGAGTGAGCAGGCACAGGGTGCTAGAAACCCGGGAAGGATAGGATCGCTTTCTTTTGTTGGGAAAGTAACCCACACTTGATGATTCGGGGCATTCCTTTCCCGGGAGTATGTGGGTGAAATAATTGAGGAAACTCAGACTTCATTGTTGCAGTGGGAGGAAGGCCGCTGTTGCCGCCAGGGCTTCAGCTGTTGAGAAGGCAGGCCTCCTCCCTGTGAGGAAATGGCCCGTAGGGACCCCAGGTCCTTGGGCCCAGTCCTCAGAGTCCCTGTTGGGTGTTCTCTTTTCCTTCCACAGGATGGTAGCAGATCCTGACAATCCTTTGGTATTGGACATCCTGACGGGCTCTTCCACCTCTTACTCCTTCTTCCCGGATAAACCTATCACCCAGGTGAGGGGCCTTTGCAGCCTTGAGGCCTCTGGGTCCTGGACCTGGTGGTAGAGCACTTTATTTGAAAATGAGAAGTGGGGCGCCTGGTTGGCTCAGTCGGTTAAGTGTCCGACTCTTGATTTCAGCTCAGGTTGTGAGATTGAGCCCTTTGTTGGGCTCCATGCTACACGTGGAGCCTGCTTGAGATTCTCTCTCCCTGTGCCCCCTTCTCTCTCTCTCTCAAAAAGAAAAAAGGCAGTAAGCAGGAGAGCTCACTTGGCGGGGGGCTGGGGAATGAGAGGTTGGTGGAAGGGGGAAGGGGCAGAGGCCGCGGGGTCTCAGGTGCCGCCATCAGGTAGGACCTAGGTGGTTGTGGTCCAGCTGCTTGTCCTTTGCCCGGGCTCTCCTGGATGACAGCCCCCTGTTGTTCCCAGTACCCCCATGCAGTGGGGAAGAACACCCTGCTCATTGCTGGGCTCCAGGCCAGGAACAACGCCCGGGTCATCTTCAGCGGCTCCCTGGACTTCTTCAGCGACGCCTTCTTCAACTCGGCAGTTCAGAAGGCCGCGCCCGGCTCCCAGAGGTCGGTGCTGGGGGGCTCCGGGGTGTGTGGTCTGGGGCGCTGGGGAAGAAGGAGCCTTTTAGCTGGAAGGGTGCCAGAGGCTAGCTAGCCTCAGATACCTTATTTGAAGACTTGACTTTGTTGCTGTGTTACTGGTGTCGGCACTGCAGACTTTTCAGGGTAGTAATGGCTCATCTGGAGATGTTTCGACGTGTATTTATTGTACAGGCGACCCCCAAAGCAGCACCACCTGACAGCTTTTCCGTGTTCCCTTTAAGCAGGATACCTCGGTATGTACGGCCCCCAGGCAGAAACTGGTTCTGTGCAGTTTCTCTTGACGGATAGGGACTTGTTTCGCCTATCAGGCACCGCCGGAAAGAAGCTGGTTCTGGTGCTCTAGCTTCTCGTTTTCCCCTTGTGCAGGTATTCCCAGACAGGCAACTACGAGCTAGCTCTGGCCCTCTCTCGCTGGGTGTTCAAGGAGGAAGGGGTCCTCCGTGTGGGGCCCGTGTCCCACCATCGGGTGGGTGAGACAGCCCCACCCAACGCCTACACCGTCACTGACCTCGTGGTAAGAGCGTCTTGGAGCAGGACAGTCCTTGGGGTTTTGGCCAAGTTGCTTCAGCTTGAAAGCCTTTTTTGAACATTTCTCTGATGGGCTTAGTGGCCTAAATAAGGAAGAAGAAATGCATCTCTATCCCTAAGAACATCAGAGCACCTGGCACATAAGCTAACATCTAAGGAGACCTTCTTTTGAAGGGCTGTGGCTTTGCTGTGGAAGTGCAGGAGCGGGAGGGCTTCGCCAGCGCACACTGCTGGGAGCTGGGGTCACCAGCGAAACATTGGAGTCGGGTCTGGAGGATGAAAAGTGGGTAGGGAAGGCGGCAGCAGGGAGGCCCGAGGAGTGCCCGGCCCACTTGCGAGTGGAGTGGTCTGGGTGCAGACGTGGATGGTCCTGTGCCGAGCTGTGGCTGGGAGTTCCTGGCCCGGGGTGGGTGGTGGGTGCTCGCCCTCCAGGTCCTGCCAGGCTCACGAGTGGTTTCGGGCAGCTCTGAGGGTGGTCCCTCGCCCCCGCCCCCCGGCTAACCAGCCTGTTGTCTCAGGAGTACAGCATTGTGATCGAGCAGCTCTCAAATGGCAGATGGGTCCCCTTTGATGGTGACGACATTCAGCTGGAATTTGTCCGCATCGATCCTTTTGTGAGGACGTTCTTGAAGAAGAAAGGCAAGTAGCGGTGGTGCACGGGAAAGCTGCAGGACGACAGGCCCACCGTGGCTTGTTCTTGTGAGGCAAGAAACCCCTCCTGGTGATTGTCTCGGTTCTTCCCCAGGTGGCAAATACAGTGTCCAGTTCAAGTTGCCTGATGTGTATGGAGTGTTCCAATTTAAAGTGGATTATAACCGGCTAGGCTACACGCACTTACATTCTTCCACTCAGGTGAGCGTAAGTCACAGTCCCCTTTTTGGCCACAGCGACCCCGCCTGGGCTGCTGGGTGGCCCGGACCTGTCACCTCCGTCCTGTCGTAGGTGTCCGTGAGGCCGCTCCAGCACACGCAGTACGAGCGCTTCATCCCCTCGGCCTATCCCTACTACGCCAGTGCTTTCTCCATGATGCTGGGGCTCTTCGTCTTCAGCACGGTCTTCTTACACATGAAGGAGAAGGAGAAGTCGGACTGAGGGCGCAGAGCCCTGGGCCTCCTTAAGACACGCAGATGGGGGTTATGTAGGAGTGGATCTTCCTTTATGGTGTTTTTTCTTTTTTTATAAAGCTGTGTGACCATGACACAGCCTTACCTCAGGGGGAGATGCAGCATTGAGTACCAAGGGTTGGGGGTTGGGGACTAGATTTTTATGTGTGTTTTTCCACCTAACGCTAAGTGGTATTTTTCATATGTGGTCACACTCATTTCTAAAATAAACATTGCCCTCCAATTTTGTCTGGCCCCTGTGTGCTTTGCTGTGCAGTAATGGTGAGACACAAAACAGTGTTGCTGACCTGGACTGCATTTCCCTTAAGCATGAAATCCTAGAACTTCGAGGGAGAGGACATGGTTAATAATACATCAAGGTGTGTTTGACTTTCCAATAGGATTATAGAGTTGACATGTATGTTCACCTTGCTTTAAGCAGTAGTTGATTTCTAAAAAGCATGTGTAAAATTAATGTGAAATCCCTTCCCCACTGTTGATCTCTACTCACAGAATTTTCTTGTCTTTATTAGGGTGTAAGAATCACTCTTAAAGCCACATATTCAATTCAAAGCAAATATGTGTTCTTCAGTTGTAAATGTGCATTTAATTCTTCACAATTCCCGTAAGAAATGCTAGTCAAAAGGCAAATCAGCAAATGAAACAACACACTGTTAATTTCCATTTCATCATTGCTTCTAGCTGTTAGACTTGATTCAGTAGCTGGAGGAAGCTGTGCAGAAGTGCTTCCTTAGAGACACCCCCGAGCTTTCCAGGCCTCGCTGGCTGTCTCTTCATTCTGAGACCTGAATATACTGACCAAATACAGCGTCCAGTTCAGAAAACATGCAGACCGAGGTCCTGGCTGCCACTTTCAAACAAGCCAGAGTCCATTCCTGGAGTCCCGTGCTGCCTGGACCCTCCTCTAACAAACAGATCCGCTCGGCCATGGACTTTGCAGAGGTCTGGGAGGCTGGTAGGGCTTTTTGGCCCACAGTTAACCAGTTCTGGACCCTCTTTTCACCTGCTGAACTCACTCTTGATTTGTACTCCGATCTTACACATTGTTAGCACTTACAGGGGGCCTAGTGATTATCATTTCTTTTTAGAGTTAGGCCCTTTGGATTCATCTAGACCAGGGGTTGGCAAACCACGGCCTGGTCAGTCTGGCCTGCAAGCCAAAAGTGGTTTTCACGTTTTTAAATAGTTGAAAAAAAATTTAGAAGAATATTTAGTGACACATGAAATTCAAATTTCAGTATATTTACGCATTTCGGACTGCTTTTGTGCTCTAACAACAGTGGAGTAGCCGTGACAGCTGGACTACTGACCACGAGCCCTGTGCAGAGAGTCTGCCAGCCCCTCTGGCTTGGCTCTGGTGCAGTTCTCACAGCACAGGTGAGAGCCTCACGCAGGTTACACGATGCACCTAAAATCGCACAGCTCGGGTGAGTTAGTAGCTACAGACCGTGACCTTTGCCACCAGCTGTTCCTTCTAGCTGCCAAGCCTGAGGCCTTTTCTAGCGCCGCCCGCCCTTGGCCTGGAGCCTGCCCGCAGCCCTCACAGACCAGCACCACACACATGTTGTGAAGTTCTTTTAGTGATACGCCAGCGACAGCAGAGCCCTCATGGGGCTGCTCTCCAGGAGAAGAGGAGCAGGGCTGCCTGGCACAGCGCTTCGTACTCCAGGTTGGCCAGAAATAACATCTTCATCTTGGTTTCCACACAGCTCTTCTCTGTAAGCCTATCAGCCAGCAGAGTGGCCGCTGACTGCTGAAGGAGCCAGCCAATCATCTTGTCTAGTTTTAGATTTTTCAGGGCTAGAGTATGTTCACCCCAGAGGCTTAAATGAAGTACGTTAGCAGCTACCCGGGCAGATGGTCTCTGCAACAGGCAGGGAAGCAGGAGCTTAGAACATCCTTGGTGAAGCATTCAACCCAAAACCTGATTTGTTAATGAATTCTTATTTTAGGGTGTTCCCTTCTCTGGCCCCAACCAATTCTTGTCCATCCCTTTGTCTCTCCTTCCTATAATACCATTCACTCACCTGACATCTGCTGGATGCCCTCTACCCCGTTCCAGGCTTTTCCAGGTGCACACATGTGCCCCGGGCAGCCTGCATTGTTGAAATCGCCTCCCCATCAAGGAAGGCCCACAAACTTCTGGAGTGCGGGGTCCTCTCATCACTTGGTAACTGGTAGCAGTGAGCACGGGCTGTGGTTCCCGCCAGCATGCCACCCAGTGGGAGGAAGCGGTAGAACAGTAGCTTGAACCCTGTCTGCCTTTGTGGACCGGCCATGCCCAATCATGGCTTCAAACTGGCTAGCCTTTATTTTCCCTTTTTAATTTCGAAATGCCCAGATCTGCTCTTGGGAGAGGTCTTCACATCCGTCTCATTAGGTGTCAACTGTTCCTATAAACTACAACTCCATTAAACATTTCTTAAAAATAGATCTTCTTCGGGGCGCCTGGGTGGCTTAGATGGTTAAGTGTCTGCCTTCGGCTCAGGTCATGATCCCAGGGTCTGGGATCGAGCCCCACATCGGGCTCCTGGCTCAGCGAGGAGCCTGCTTCTCCCTCTGCCTCTGCCTCTCTCCCTGCTCATGCTTTCTCTCTCAGTATCTCTGTATCTCAAATGAATAAATAAAATCTTAAAAAATAAACAACAGATCTTCTAAGTAACTTAAGCCACTAAAGCCAAGAAGAGTTGCACTGCTGGAATTCTAATTTGCTGGCCAGCTCCCCTACTCCTGTTTATACTGAAGTTTGTTCTCCTGTACTTGGCCTTTATCTTTGTAAGAGGAGCCATCTGTCACTCTAGTCTTGCCCAAACCTGATCTTTACAATGGAACAAACTTCCACAATCCCTGCAAACCTGGGGACAGCCTTACCTTGCTGGCCTCTCGCTGGAGCAGTGACCTCACCAGCTGTCTTGCATCTAGAGGCACCGACTTGGGCAGTGCCGGCAGCTGAGCCTCCTGGTAACTGCGGCTTTCGAGGTGGGCCCCACCCTGGCCATAGAAGGGATTGGGGAGCCCGAAGATTTCGTAGGCGAGCGCACCGACGGCCCAGGCATCCGCCTTGCTGTAGTCGATCACCGCCTTGGGGCCAGGGCAGGCGGTGGACACCTGCTTGGGAAAGCAACAGGTGAGCTTCAAGCTGCTGGCATTCCTAACGTATTCATGTACCTACACAGCACCTGACTCACAGGCTAATCTGAACCCCGTCCCAAGGAACCCAGGATTTGAGTGAGCTGTGGCTCAGACCCAGAAGAATCTGCTTAGGCTGCCTACTCTGTGCTGACAAAACACACATCTCCTGTAAACATTAGGGAGGGCCAGATTCACAGGACAAGGGACTTGTGCCAAATTAAGGGTCAGAAAAGACAGAGGTGTTGAGAAGGTAATGAGGCAGCGAGTCTCGTCCTCTGAGTCAGCGGGAACCAGATGGAGAAGTGTGCTGACGGCACGGGCCACGCCCAGCCGGACTCACCTCTGGAGCCATCAGGCAGCCGTTTCCGCCCCGATCCACGTACCAGCTGGTGAAAGGCAGCTGCAGGCCGGTGCGCTCATCAGCCAGGCAGCAACCGAAGTCTGTGATCACCAGCCAGGGGCAGCCATCTGGGGAAGGAACGGGCAGAGGTAAGTGATGATTCTCTCCTCTGAGAGGTCTTCGCAGGAGCCCTACAGATGTGGCTGAGGGGCTAACAGGGACGCAGTATCAGCCCAGGAACGCAGCGGCTGGCCACTCACCAGAGCGCTCAATGGGAGGCCAGCTACAGGAGCACAAAGATGCTTCCGGGGAAACCACAGCCCTCAAGCAAAGAACTGGATAGAAGTTTGGCTCAATGTAACTGATCGGTAATCGGAGCTATCCCAAGACTGAAGGAGCTGCTCCTGGTTTACTCAGTAGATGGCGCTTAGCTCTAAGAGCTCTTATGCACCAAAGATCTTTGATCTGAACTTGAAACCCCAAGTCCGAACCTAAGAAACAGGTACGTTAGGATTTAGTTATTTGTAAAAGGATTCACACAGACTTCCTTTAAAAGGCTAGTTCCTCTAGCAATTTAATGGCACATTACTTTAAATCTTATAGCTCAAAATTTACCCAATCTATGACTCTCCTTTACAATATGGCAGGTTAAGTGGCTGGAGCCTTTACTTCAGTGCTTCCTGTGTGGGGAACTGGGGAACTCATTATTTCCAGGGGCAGCTGGACTGGGCTTACATTTGGACAGCTCTCACTGTTTGAAAATTCTTTTTTCTACTAAGTCTACCTCTCTTTTCTTTGAGAAAACTCCCACCACCGAGGTTTTTGTTCTGTAAGTGAGCAACAGAAAGTAACTCAGGGACTATTAACCATCATTCCACAAGCCCCACAAAGAGAACGAAAGCCTCCATTTTGAAGGAGAGATTGCTCATCTCTTGGGTACAGAGCTGAATTAAGATACAACTTCTAATAGGACATAAAACCCAAAAGGACTGGAAGGGTCCTAAGTGTCTGCAGACCCTAAGTCTGGTGCCCCTGGAGGGCTGGGAAGGTGCGGCCAGGACCCACCTGCATCCAACTCCACCAGAATGTTGTCAGATTTTAAGTCTCTGTGCGCGACGCCCTGTTGAACCAGATGATCCACCGCCTCCAGCAGCTGCAAGATCATCACGGTGGCGAGGCGGGGGCTTGGGGTGTTCTCACGAAGGTACTGGCGCAGTGTACAGGGGTAGCTGGTGGAGAGGGTGACAGGGCCTCTGGCTGTCGCACATCAGTGGTCCCCCAGCATCTTATTTACTATTAGGATGATGGCCCTTCCCCTTCCTGAAGTTTTTTGATCTTTTTCCCCGAGTATTCTTTCTGTTACCACCCACTATCCTGAAGTTAGGAAGGGAGAGCTGGGGCCCCACATGATGGAAGTAATGGTGCAGATACTCCTTCCTCATGCCAGTGACAGCGATGCCAGGAGGTATGGAGGGTTAGGGAGGAGAACTGGTTTTACACAACTGGTAAGGCAAGCCATAGAGAGGGGGCAAGAGTCAAATGGACTAAAAACACCAGTGAGGACCAGGTTCTCAGAAACCAGGAGATTCTGGTTTCATGAAAAGTCACTCCAAAGGGACCCCACTTTCTGGGACAGTATGCCCTCGGCATGGGTGAGGGTCCTTCTCCCTGCCACCCCGTGCCCCCAGGTGCACAGAGACACCACCAGCTCCTACTTACTTCTTCATAACGAGGAAGAGCGTCCGCCCGTGGCCCAGGCCTTCGGGGTGAAGATGTGGGGGCAGCACATCAGGGTAGTTGACCAGGGCCCCTGGCAGCAGCGGTACAGGAGAGGTGAAGGCACGAAACACCCGGATGATGTTGGGGTGAGGGGCCAGTTGCTTGGGACCTCCCTTGGATCTTCTATTTCAGCCAAATGGGAGAGTCCAGTATCAGATACAACAGTTGGAAAGATAATTATGCCATGATAAATACTGACATTCACCCATTTTTTTAAATTTATCAAATATGTACTGTAGATCTGCTATGTGTCAGGTGCAGAACCTGGTGTTAGAGCGAAAAAACAAACCCATAAAAATGACCTGTCGTATTTGATGACTCTGCTGGTCCGTCCATCTGTCCATCCATCAATCCCATGCAGCAGAACACAGGGGTTAAGAGACTGGAATCAGACTATATGGTTTGAATTCCAGGTCTGCTACTGTAAGCCCTGGGCCAGGTTACTTCTCTGGGCTCAGTCTCAATTGCCAAAGGGAATAAGGTAGTAACATAAGTTTTAAGGTTAAAACTTACATAAAGGACCTAGAATCTCTGATGGCAAGTTCTAGCATAACCCTTAAAGTGTAGTATGAGCTCAAACCTTTATTGAGGGGCACCTGGGTGGCTCAGTCAGTTAAGCATCTGCCTTCGGCTCAGGTCATGATCCCCAGATCCTGGGATGGAGCCCTGCATCTGGCTCCCTGCTCAGAAGGGTGTCTGCTTCTCCCTCGCCCTCTGCCCCTCCCCCTGCTTGTGTGCTCTCTCTCTCTCACACTCTCTCAAATAAATAAAATCTTCAAAAAAAAAGACAACCCACAAAACCTTTGCTGAATGAATGAACAACGGACACAGATGCAGTCTGTAGTACGTTAGTCACCTGCCTGTCCACCCCTCCTCCTTGGGGAGCCCCACACCCACAGCCTTGGTGAGGCACAGTGGCTGTGTTCTGGATGGTGTGAGTCGGCCTATGTCTCAGCCCCACCCCTCAGCCTGTACTCTCACTGGGCGGGCACCTGGCCTCAGGGCAAGGAGCCTGCAGTCACATCTGAGATAAAAATGGTTGGTGGGAAAAGGGATGGGGGCCAGTTCAATTCTCTTTTTGAGGAGCACCAGTGAAAAAAACATGGTAGTAACTTAGCAGTCAGCAATGCAGCTGAAGGTGCAGGATGCCATGAGACTTGACTGGGGCCACAGGAAGCCAGAGATGTAGAAACCAAAGGCACACAGACATGGAAGAGCTGTGGGGTAAGAAATAAGGACACTGGGGTGGCAGAGAGCAGAGAATGGAGCAGAAGCCCAGAGACATGAAGACAACACTGAGGGAGCAAGATGCCCGCCCCCATCTTAAGATCGGCCTGTTCCCGAGCTCTGTGGAGTCAGTTCATGTGTGGCCTACTGCTCTTTCTCTTGAGTCCATCTGAGTGCACCCCTGTAAGCAATCAAGGGAATTGAAGCGTTGTTCCTAGCCTTGGACCGCTGGGGCTAGTGGGAGAATCAGGGTCATAGCTCAAGGCTGTCCATGTCACAGTGGGGAAAGCTCTGCCCGGTTGTCGTGGGAGCCCACGGGAGGAATATGGCTGTGCGAGGCACGTGTGTGTGGGGGAGTGTGTTTGAACTGAGATGAGCGGGACAGGAGGCTGTGGGGAGGGCAGCCCAAGGAGAGCTAACTGCGTGTACAGAAGACAGGCATGGAGGAGCGTGGTGCATTTGGGGGAGGGCGGTATGAATTCAGTATGGTAGAGCACAGGGTGTAAATGGGACAAGATCGGAGATGGGGTGGGAGAGGTAGGAGGAGCAGATCACAAGGGCCGAGCCTGAGTCCCCAGATGAGCAGAGACTAGATGGAAACATGCCCAGAGTGCTCTCAGGGACTGAGTCACTGATGGCATCCGTACTTTAGGTAACAGACCTTCTGTCAAATTCATGGGATCATTCGACGGACATTTACTGAGCTGTAGGAGTACACAGCAAACAAAACAGGAAAGCCCTGCCCTCAAAGTGCTCACAGTACAACGGGAGAGGCAGGATAGACAAAGCCATCTATGATTTAAGGTCAGATGGTGATAAATGCTATGAAAAAACTGCAAGCGGGGGAAGGGGCTGGAGGCCGGCAGGGAGCACTCCAGATGGGAGGCCTGCACAACCTCTGCAGCAGAGGCGTCAGCAGGCCCAACACGGAGCCGCCGGAGGGAAACAGCACCCCCAGAGCAACAGCCATTCCCTACCAAGGGCTGAGGAGCAGAGGAGGACACCAAGCCCACCGACCAGCTGCTTCTGTCCGCCTGCACGGCCCCTCAGGCACACGAGAGCCTTCCAAACCACGGAAGCGGCTTTCCATGTGCTTTCTCGAGTCCCTGTGTCTGCCCTCCCCCTTCTGACAGCACTAGGTCTAGAAACCACCCACTAGTAAGTTGCCAAGACGCAGCTCTTCCCGGTGGTCTGCAAATACGAGAGGGAGCACACTGTCGCGTGCGCAGCATTCATCTTCGCCGCCGGACACGGTGCCTACAAAGAGCTAGGAGCGCGGGCTGCCATCCGCCCCCTCTTCCCTCTGTGGAGTGGCCTCTCTGCCCACCTCTCTGCCCAGGTGGTGCCTATTCATCTTCAAAAGGCAGCCCTGATGGTCCCTTCAAGAGGCCTTTCCAAATGGGCTCCCTCAGCACCTGAGCATCCAGGATTCTAGCACTTCCCACCCTGACCTCTGCTCCCGACCTGTCTTGTTCCTCTGCCACACACAGAACTCTTGAGAATGGGCCACATTTTTTTTAAAGTTCTTGGCACTGCCAAGACTGGAATGAGTGTTGCCTGTGCCGGGGATGGAGTTCAGCTGGTATGGATGGGTGGCGTTCCCCCTGGGCATTACTTAACAACCAGAAGTCAGATCAATTTTCCAACATTCTGAATTGGGCATTTTGGGACAGCCTCTCTGTGCTCCAGTGTGAATCGGCCACCTGCATCTTCAGATGATCTGCAATCTTCCCCAAGCTGAATTATCGAACAACGACAAAGCCACCATTAACTACATCACTCAGTGAGCACTTACTATTACATGTCCGTCAGACACCCCTCTGAGGACACAGGTGAGGATTTTGCTCTCAGAGAACTCACAGCCAGTCTGGTGGGCAGATGAGTGCTTACCTGTAAGTGACTGCTCCGTACTCCCCGCCCAAGGCCACTCGACTAGCTGGGACTAGCTCCTGGCTCATCGTCCTACAGATGGCTTCACTGGAGGAGCCTGCCTGGAATACAATCATGAATTCAGGGCTATATAGACCAGAGCAGGTCCAAGTCCTCCTTGTAATCTGGACCAGACAGCTACTGCCTAGAATTGTTTGTTTGAAGATTTTATTTTTAAGTAATCTCTACATGCAATGGTGGGGCTTGAACTCACACCCCAAAATCAAGAGTCGCATGCTCCACCGACTGAACCAGCCAGGTACTCCTAGAATTGGTTTTGACATTCGAGATAAGATAAACTCTCTGGGGGTGCTTGGGTGGCTCAGGTCATGATCTTAGGGTCCTGGGATCGAGCCCCACGTCGGGATCCCTGCTCAGTGCGGAGTCTGCTTGTCCCTCTCCCTCTGCTCCTCCCCCTGCTCACGCTCTCTCAAATAAATAAAATCTTAAAAAAAAAAAAAAAGATAAACTCTCTAAAATAGCAAGCCAAGCTACTCTCTCCTGGGAGAGAGAAGGCAGAGATGCCATCTGGGCCAACTCCCAGGGGGCTTCAACATCACATCTCAAACTCTTGGCAGCTCGGGGGCCCAGGGCAGGAAGAGATGGCAAGATAGGGTGAGGGACCTTTCTTCCTGCCATCAGTGCCTCTGGTCACCACCAGGCTCAAACTGGCCACTGGGTCACTAAGACTCCCCCTTGCAGGCTGCCTTCAGCGGACAGGCAGAGCCGGACAAATCTGCCCTGGATAAGGTTGTGCTGAATCACAGGACAACCTTCCCCAGCCCCTCAGTAAAAAGGAACAACAGCGAAGAACCAAAGATGAGCAAAAGCACCCATTTTCCTTATTTCATTACAAAGGTCTCTCCAATCCTGTGGAACCCATTAGGAACCCTCTAGGAGTCATTTAGCTTTTGTGTGTGCGATAGTCAGCATGCCCATCTGGAAGTTTTGATGCCAACCCTGGCTGTGTCACAGGCAAAGGCCTTGGCTACTTGTTAGCTAATCACCTAGCTCGGAAAGGCAAGAGTCTAATAACCTTCAGCCCCCAGGTCAAAACCAGAAACTGCATTCTTCAGTGTCCAGCATGAGCTGCCATGAACGCTCAATTTCCCTAAGCCTGAGTCCTCCCAGAGTTGAGAGCAGGGAGGTGACAAACAACCCTCTGATCTGGAGGGGAGGTTGAAGGGGGAGTCTGGAGGACAGGAGTGTGGCCTCTCCTCTCCAGTGAGGCAAGTCAGGGGAGCGAATGAGGGAGGATGGTGGGAACGGCAGACCCGAATTCAGCTAACTGGATCATAAGGAACCAGGGGCTCAGGCACCTGCTGCTGTGTGCGGACCAGACCAGAAGCATGGGCATCACCTGGGAGCTGGTTAGAAAGGCAGAATCCCAGCCCCCATCCCAGGCCAGCTGACCAGAATCTGCCTTTTAACCGGATCCTCAGGTGATTGGCAGACATTACAGTCTGAAACTGCTTCAGACTCTTGCATGAGAGGGCAAGGAAGCCTAACTATACAGGCGCCCATGCTATGGAGAGCCCGCCTGTCTACCTCCTGGGAAAAAGCACTAGCAGGTCCACCGAGACCGGGGCTTGCTTTTTTTTTTTTTTTTAAAGATTTTATTTATTTATTTGAGAGAGAGAGAGAGAGAGATCACAAGCAGGGGGAGGAGCAGAGGGAGAGGCAGACTACCCCGCCAAGCAGGGAGCCCACGGGACCCCAGAACCTGGGATCACGACCTGAGCCGAAAGCAGACGCTTAGCCGTCTGAGCCACCCAGGTGCCCCTGGTGTTTTGAGAAATGTCCAATTCAAAGATGAAAGGCCCCCTCCTCACCGAGATATTCCACATCATTTTGATGGCTAAGGGAAAGGCAGGGGCCTGGGAAGCTGGCTCCTCTTCTCGTGGAACGACACCCGGGCCTCTGCCTGGAAGAGGCCTGATGCTCTTCACCACCTCCAGGCTCTGGGGCAACACAGGCATGGTGGCTTCATACACAGCAGCACTGCAGCCCTTGCCAATGAACTGCCCTATCAGATACTCCTCCAGCTGGAAGCCCTGTCGGCGTCTGGTGTCCAAAGGGTCAGGCAGCAGCTTGTTTTTCTGGGCAAAAATTGCCTGTGAGGAACAAAACACGCACAATGAGCTAGGATGCCTAGTAAGGCTCAAGCGCAGTGGGGAAGGGGAGAGGTAGAGCCAGGCAAGGTCTTCACTGACAAGATCAAGAGCTAGTAAAAACAACCAAATTGGGTTTTACTGCTCATCCTGGGCTTAGGCCAAGATACCTCTCTCTCCCATTATTCAGAATAATTTTTTCTCAAACTCTGTACCTTCACTGCAGTCAGAGAACACTGCAAAACTTCTCACCTCTGCAGCTGGCCCACCTTGCCTGTCAAGCTCCCCGCACAATGTTGGAGGCTTCTGATTACAGAGAGAGCTCTCTGTGCAAGGGCCTTGGCAGGTAGCTTCTGGATGGTTCTCGGGAGCTATGGAGGGGCAGCTCTCCTTAGACCTTCAGAGGAATACTAGGGTTGATGTTTGGTTAAGTCTTTGCTACTAGAGCCACTAGTAAGGGTTTTGGAGTCTGTGTGTGGGCCGCCAGCCTGGCACCTTGATCTGCCCGATTGTTCCCTTGGGCAATCAAGCAGTCCCATTTTTGGTGTCCTTGGCAGCAGACAATAGCTGCCTTCTTGGGTTCCAAACAACTCTAATAATTCTAAAATATCTGAAGTCTACCTCAAGTTGTCTAGCTTCAGTTTGCAGGGCTTCAGGAGAAAGGGCAGCTTTAGGGAATGGGAGAAAATTGGAAACTTTAGTTTGGAAAATCATAACCAGATACTGGAGGAAACCAGAATTCAGGATCCAGCCCAGTTTTAGAGGCAAACAACAAACAGCCAAAGACAGTTACTCTAACTTCCACGAATGTGTGATTTCTCTTTCTAAAATCACGCTCATTTCCACCCAAGATAGCCAAATTAAGACTCCAGTTTTAACAATCTTGGCCTATTTATTTACATAAGTGCTGCAAGAATAAATAGTGATTGGCCATATATGGTTTGCTTTATTTTTAAACAGAAAATCTGCTTTGCTGGAACTTTTCATAAGGAATTTCAGACTGAACTTTTAATAGTCTCTCAAGGCTAAGAAGCCAAGCCATGTAATACTTGTCATCAGACTTTGCCTGCAATACCTATAGATTCGGGTAAATTCCTCTCTTCTTGAGGTTCCCAAAATAACCTGAGGTTCCTGCACCTGCCAGGAAGTGACCTTCTTTATTCACCTGGTAAGGGTGCTGGGAACCCTATAAGCAAGGTACGAGGCTAATTTTTCCAAGGGGCTTCACTAACTCCATAAAGTCAACCTTAGTTCCTTAAAACTGGTCATATCTGAGTCTATGCATGTCACCCTCAAAGAGGACATTCCAGCCAAAGCCTTGATAATATAACCAATGTTTCCAACTGTGTCTTATCACAAAAGCAGATTCTTACTGAACTTATGCAAATATATACATTGCCATGAATATATAATACTCACTGAGAGTTTCTGAATCAATCTGGAGGGATCAGGTGGGAAGAAAAAGATAAATGTTTCATATCTGTTTACAAAGGAATATTTTACCAAATTTCTGCAAGTCATAACAGCTTAAGAGAAAAACAGTTTCCTTAAATCTGGAAAAGCAAACATTAAAGAACCAGGAACATTTCAAACAAGAGTAATCATTTTCCTCAATTCATTCAGTCCCATGTTACTAATTCTGGTTCTGCTTGAATGCAATTTTCCTGTTCCAGAAATTCTTACTCAATTTGGTTTTACAATTTTAAAGGTATCAGAGACCTGTACTTGTCAAAAGTCCTTTCCACGAATCTCCTTGAAGCTGAAACATATCTGTAACAGCATCAGAGTAAAACAATGACTGTAAATGACAAAAGACACAAAAATGGCCCTGGTTCTTCTGTGACACACAATGCTTCAATAACTAGAATAAGTGACGACATTATACCAGGACATATCACGGCTATTGCATTCACCCATATAACATAATCTAAGGTTTATCACCACTTATTTGACGATGCTTCCCATGTAATATGACATACCAAACGAACTAGTCTCGTTAATAAAAAGATTTCATTTAGAAGTTGAATCTTGGGAATTTGGTCAAAAATATCATAAGGTTTTAAAACACATGCCTAAAGAGGATGACAGATCATTACAAAACTTAATAATTATTTAACCAAGGTGGCATTAAGATTCCAAAGGCAAAAAGAGCTCTCTGAAGAGCAAAACTTAGCTCTTTTAATATTAAGATTCAACTGTCTAAAGTAATCAAAGACCTAATAAAGACAAAACATGGAAACTTTTCCTCTAGGAAGATTAAAGATAAAGAGAAAAAGGCTTTGTTTATAATTTCTTATTAAGAGTAGACCAATATGGGACGCCTGGGTGGCTCAGTCAGTGGGCATCTGCCTTCGGCTCAGGTCATGATTCCCAGAGTCCTGGGGTCGAGTCCCACACCGGGCTCCTTGCTCAGTGGGGAGCCTGCTTCTCCCTCTGCCTGCCACTCCCCCTGCTTGTTGTGCTCCCCCCCTCGCCAACAAATAAATAAAATCTTAAAAAAAAAAAGACCAGTAACTAAGAAAATGGTCATTTTAATAGGAAAACCAAATTCCAATCTTGTATTGATGTACTTTTTTTCCCATTTTTTAAGATTTTATTTATTTATTTGTTAGAGAGGGAGAGAGCGCAAGCAGGGGGGGCAGCAGGTAAAGGGAGAAGCAGGCTCCCCACCAAGCAATGAGCCCGATGCGGGACTTGATCCCAGGACCCTGGGACCATGACCCCAGCCGAAGGCAGATGCTCAACCGACTGAGCCACCCAGGCGTCCCACATTGATGTACTTCTGAGAGTAAAACTCATTCATTCCAACAAGATGAAATTTTAAAAAAATGTATGTTGTCCCTCCCTGTCACGGCCCATGTTGATGTATACTCATTGAGACAGGGCCAACCAGGGTGCTGCATGGATCTGAGCCTTTGTGGTGGATGCTGGAATGTGCTGGCCAGAATCTCCATCAGGAATGAAGGACCTTCAGCTGTGGGAATTGCCAACAGTCCTCAGCTCTTGGTGGTCATCAGGGAGGGCCCTGACTGAAGACAGCTGCCTTGCTGAGGTCATGCTCTTCCTAGGTGGTCCCATCCAATGACTGTTCATAGGAGTATATAAAATTGAGCCGTTTGCCCCAATTTTGGATGGTTCTGAAGGGTAATCCAGCCTTTGGAACTCCTCAGAGAATGGGCTGAGGCTTCTGTTGATGTTGTATCACTGCTTGACCCCTGCCTGATCCTGTTCTCTTAACCATCGGTCTCTTCCTCTGCTGTGGATCACTCCCTAATAAACTGTTTGACTGATCTCCATAATCTTGGTCCTGACCATCCACAAAATTCCTTCCCAAAGACTCCCTTCTCATAGATCTTCTACAACTTTTCTTCTTATATTCAGGTTTTGTCCTAAGTTTTCCTTCTTTAAATAATCAGTCACACTTTCCTTACATAGAGTTGTTTCCCTTAATAGAAGCCAAAAACAAACCTGTTTGTTCTCAACAATTATGTTTCGATTATCCATAACACTTTATAACATGAACCTGACTTTCAGTAAATACAGGCAGAACAAAAGTTCTACCTCTACTACTGGCAACTTTAAAAACATGTCCATTGTAATTAAACCAACAACCTTAAATTAGCTTTAATATTGAATGTTTTCCCAGATCACATGAACTTGAAAGTATTTTTCTTGGTATTGGAATGCCCAATTTTTTTTTTTTTAAGATTTTATTTATTAGAGAGAGAGAGAGAGAGGAGAGAGCGTGGAGGGAGAAGCAGATTCCCTGTGGGGCTCGATCCCAGGACCCCAAGATCACAACCTGGGCCAAAGGCAGAGGCTTAACTCTTCTGCTCAAACACCTAACTTTTATAGGAAAGGCGCCCCTGGAATGCCCAATTCTTACAACTACTTGCCTTTACACCAACTAAACTGAGCTCTTCTACAAATTAATTTTAGCAACACCATCCAGAGGTAGAGAAAAAAAAATCTCACATTTACAACATACATACATGGACACAAAAATACACAAACGAGACGCAAACAAAATCTTAAAGGCCCAATTTCCAAATATATCATAATTTATGGCTCCATTAATTGGGCATTTTTCTCCAGTCTAATGAATATTATGATTAAGCAGTGTTGCAAAACAAAGACTGCCCAAGTTTGGGCTGCACTGGGGAATCAAATTCACTTTCCATTTTCCAATTAGAACATGGCTGGTTTTGACCAAAAATACCAAAAGCTGAAGCAACAGACAAACCAAATGGAGCCCTGAGTACCTCTGAGCACGGGTTCCTCCCCGAAAGCCAGGGCTTCACCTACTGAATGGAGCAGCTCCCTAGTCAACTCTCAGATGAGGAGGCCAAGGCTCAGAGATCCACACCAATCCCCCTATTTGGAGGCAACCCACCAGGAAGAGGAAATAAGCTCACGTGGCCTTGCACATGAAAGACTCACCGAGAGACCCATGTCCAAACCGAAGCCAAAAACTGCTTCCTTGCTGCAAGAGTTAAATTATGTGCCCAAGGTTGGCAGTGCCCAGTGGGGGTGGGACTTGGGATGGTCCCTAGGACAAAGAGCCCAGGCAGTCTCTCGGACTGGTCACTGCATTGCCCGTACTGGCTGGGGTCTGACTAGCCACAGGCTAAATGCTCCCTCTGACCTGCAGCAAAATCACTGAGACAGCCAGGGCAGCAAGGTAGGGTTTTTGTTTTTTTGGGTTTTTTTGAGAGGCCACCAAATCAGGAGATGGGGGAAGAAGCCTCAAATCTGCCTCCCTGGGGGAGGAGAGGCAAGGATATTTCAAAGCCAAGTGGAGAAAGTCTGGGTAAAAAGTTGCAGGTGTGCTTAGTAGTCCTATCAACCCCTTGGTTACCGGTTTCACGTTCACATGTCACTCTTCTGTTCAAACACCTTTTATTCAGCAACTTGGCCTGGCGCTTCCTATTTGTGAAAGCTTTCACCAGGCTCTACTGTGCAGCACCCATACTTATCTTTCATACAACTCTCTAAGCCTAACCCTCTCCCCGAACCTGCTTCTGTGGAGTTGCTCTGCCTGGCTCATCCCCTCTCATCCCTCAAGTCCCAACTGAAGCTCCTCCCTCCTCTAGAACCAGCCTGCACAGCCCAGGCCACAGCAACCTGTCCTGGAGGATTCCTACAGCACTGGCATCTATAAGCTAATACACCTTGGGTGAGAACTTTTAACTTAAAAAAAAAAAAAAGAAAGAAAAGTCTATCTTGCCTTGCCAACAAGTTTCTAAACTCCACGGAGCAGAAGCAATTTTCTGTAGAGTAATTCTTTAACAACCGTGGCTTTGAGAATGAAACATATTTTTTTAAGTTTTAATTCTGAAATAATTTAGACTCACAAGAAGTTGCAAAAAAAAAAAATAGTACGAAGCGTCCTGTGTCCCTTCCGTTTCCTCCCGTGGTGACATTTTATAAAGCAGCAATTCAGTATCAAAACCAGGACAGTGAACTGGTACACTGCTGTCAACTACAGACCTTATTCAGTTTTTACCATCTTTTTAAACCTGCATTCATTCGTGTGTGTGTGTGTGTGTGTGTGTGTGTGCAGCTCTATGCAACTTTTTTTTAATAGGTGAAGTTTAATATAAAGAATTAACTGAGGGACACCAACTGAGGCGGCTCAGCTAAGGGTCTGCCTTTGGCTCGGGTCATGATTATGATCCCAGGGTCCTGGGATCAAGTCCCGCATCAGGCTCCTTGCTCAGCAGGGAGTCTGCTTCCCGGGCTTGTGCACGCCCTCCCCTCCCCTCCCCTGCAAATAAATAAAATCTTTTTAAAAAATAAAGAATTGATTTTAACAGCAAATTGAAATAACAAGAGATTCACCGGTAAGGTGCCTTGGCATGTACTGGAAATCCCGGTGGAGAGTCATTTGCAGGGAGGCACTGCTCTTTGGAACCGCGGGGGCGGTTTCCAGGGGAAGCTGCTGACCACCTGGCACTTCAGGAGCCACATGCTGGGGAGGCCGCATGCAATGCAGGTGCCCAGGAGCCTGCAGAGCAAGCACATGGGCGGGGAACCAGGAAGCAAAAGCCTTTCCTCCTGTAATCTATCCTGGACCCTCTACTGACAAACCTTATCCTGTCACTTAGCAAAGGAAAACTATTTCAAAGGCCCAGGTCAATTTTCACAGAGCCAACAAGAAAGCTGAATTTGGAGCTGAGTCAATAAACTGGTGAGCGGGAACACTGTGGGACTTAGGGCACTGCCAGCATTTAGTAAGCGTAGGCCTGGGGTGCTGCGGCGAGTGGTGGGCTGAGCTGGCTCACACGGGGAAGCAGCAGCCCTGAAGTATGCCGGGAGCACCTCTGTATCAGTCAGGGTCCTGGCAGGAAACGGCAGCATACTCAAATAAGGATACTTTGAGAAGAGTCTTTGGACATGGTAGTGGGCAGGGCTGGGAAACCACAGGGGGGTGCAGCTCCCTGGGGCTGCTTACCTCCCCGGGCCTGAAGCACCAGGAGGTAGCTGGTGGAACCTAGGAGAGAAGCGTGTGGGAAGAGCTGCCCAATTGGATGATAGGAGCAGTGACCTTTCAGCACGGGGTGCAGCCAGCCACAGCCCCTGAGGTGGGGAATAAATACCCCAACCTCATGCTCTCCCCTCCAACCTGCCGATCTGCCATGCCACATCCCTCATCCCACCCCGACCCTCACGTTGAGTGAACCCAGATGGAAGACAGAAGTATGGAGAACTGTCAGACACTCCCCAGAGTCCACTGAGATCCAGCTTGATGGGTAGGGGGCCGAGGGCTAGGCGGGGATGAGGCTGGCTGTGTCTGGAGACTGCTCCTCTGGCCCTAACTTGAGGCTCTGAGCCCAGTCAGCCCCCAGAATCTCGCAGTTGGACAGCATCTCCTCCAACAAGATCCGAGTGAGGGCCAGGTTGGACATGGCAGGGAGGTCCGAGACGTCCAGCCTGCGGAGGTTCAGAGGCTGTCCAGGCCGTGGTAGCTGGCAGCCCAGCCGCTGACATCGGCAGCCTCCAGAGGCACTGCCTGGAACTTCAAGAACTCAAGAGAGAAGTGGCCATGTTCATTTGACCATATCCACTCCTTGCCCTGAAACTTGACTGTGCCTCCCTGCTTCAGGATATAACAGGCACCCCCGAAGTATGAGCCATATTGCCCCGTGATGTAGGTGAAAGGTCGATTTTTCTGGTGCACCTGTGACACCTGCTTTTGGAGCAGGTACTCTCTCAGGGCCTCCACGTCATAGAAGTGGTCAGCCAGGAACTAGAGCAGCGACCTCCCCTTCTTCTGACTGCCTTCTGGGGCCACCGCCCTGCCTGGGCCATGGATACCACCGGTACCCCCCGTTCCAGACCAGGGCCACCAGGTGCAGGGACTCTTAAAGCCCCCAAACTCTTCCTTCAACCTCCTTCCAGTCTTCTCTTAGCCGGCTCCAACCCTGCCCTGGGCGCCGCCATCTTGCTAGACTGCCAACTCCATGCAAACTGATCCCATGTACAGATTTGTGTAATCACCACCACAATCAAGATTCAGAACTGTGCCATCACTGCAGAAGAACTCCTTCATGCCACCTCTGTATCTGCACTGCCCCCACCCCGCCCCTGTCCTCTGGCAACCACTGATCTGTTCCCCATCTCTATAGTTTTATCATTTTCAGAACGTTACAGAAATGAAATCACACAGCATGTACCCTTTGAGGACTGACTTTTTTCACTAGGCATAATATCCTTGAGGTTTATTTAGGTTGTTACCCATATCAATAGTTGATTCCTAGTTATTACTTAATATTTATGTACAGATGTACCAGAGTTAAACAGTTCACCTGCCGAAGGATGTTTGGGTTGTTTTAATATTTTGCTATTATGAATAACACTGCTATGAACATTCACGTACAGGGTTTAAAATTATTTTTACAAATTATGTTAAAATATATGTAACATAAAATGGACTACTTAAATCATTTTTAAATGTATAGTCAATGGCACTAAGCACATTCACATGGTTGTGCAACCATCACCACCATCTACCTCCAGAACTCTCTTCGTCCGGCAAAACTGAAACTCCACACACATTAAACACTAACTGCCCACTCCCTCCTCCCTCCAGTGCCTGGTAGCATTCCACTTTCTGTTCTGTGAATCTGACTACTCTAAGGACCTCATACAAGTGGAATCATACAATATCTCTCCTCGTGACTGGCTTATTTCACTTAGCATAATGTCCTCAAATTTCATCCACGTTGTAGGATGTGTCAGAACTTCTTTTCAAGGCTGAATAATACTCCATTGTATGTAGATACCATACTCTGTTTACCCATTCATCCATCCATGGACATCTGGGTTGCTTCTGACTATTGTGAATAATGCCACTATGTACATGGGTGTACAAACATCTGCTCAAGTCCCTGCTTTCAGTTCTTTGGGGCATATCCCCAGAAGAGGAACTCCTGGGTCAAATGATAATTCTATTTTTAATTTTGGGGGAACTGCCATGCTGTTTTCCACATCTACTGCTGACAAGGATAGCAGCTGGGGACTGGACCACGTGTCACCTGTCACCCAAACTGGCCAGAGCTCAAACATGAGACACTCTGGTGATAAGAAGAATTGGAACAAGGGCTGGAAACCAGGAAACATGGGAGACACTGCCCAGTCCTTAAACAGCTGTGTCCTTGGGCAAATCACTCCATCTTCCCCGACCTCAGCCCTATGCTGTACCACATGGGCACTGTGCTAACTCCGTGAGTGGTTTCAGACCCCAGAAGACTGACCGACCTGGAAGAAATGGGAATTGGGCCAGCAGATGGCCTTCAGACCTGAACCACAACAGTGGCTCTTCTTGGGTCTCCTGCCTGCCTGACTACTCTGCAGATTTTGGATTTGCCAGCCTCCACAACTACAGAGCCAATTCCTTAAAATAAATCTCTCTCTTGCTTTTTTTTTTTTTTTTAATAAACATATGCTATTGGTTCTGTTTGTCTGGAAATGCCTAATACAGATTTTGGTTGAGTAGAAACAGAGGTCTCTGTGCTATTTTAAGCATTTACAAAGCCTCCCCTCCCCCATATCCAGTGACTCCTGATAACTTTACACAGGTTAACTGAAAACTGTTAGGTCTTTTCTCTACTGCTGTTCATAGTTTTTACTTTGGCTTCAGCTATGTCACTGACTGGCTAAACTGTGGAGGCTTAGGTTAAAAGCACAGGCTTTGGAGAGTCGGTCTTTGGGCACTGTCTAATAGCTGTGTGACTTCGAGCAAATTACTTCACCTCTCTGAGTACTTTCCCTCGTCCATAAACTGGGGATGACAACTATCTCAGGAAAAGAAGTGTCATGATTTAATTGTCAGTACATTTTAGAAAACTTAGACAAAGCCATCAGCCATGGGGCAGCGGGCACTAAAACTAGCAGCATGTCTTCCTGAACATGCCATTTGAGGCAGGGAACATGTGAAGTGCTGGCCCCAAATCAGGAGTGCAGTATCACTGCAAATGAACCTCAACTGGTGATGTCCAACGCATTTCCAGCTGGGACAGAGGTAGAGCTTGACCCCATGGCCCCAGGCAGCAGGTGACTCCCAGCTCCGCCCCAGCCCCGCCCCCACACTAGCCCCGCCCCGCCCCCGGGCCTGCGCTCACCTGGATCTCCTGACAGGCTGACGCCGCCCGCCGACCCTCCGCTTGCTTCTCCTCGATGACGCCCAGGCCCAGTCCGAAGGCCAGAAAGACGGCCCGGCCGCAAGGGCCCGCGCCGCCCCGGGCCCGCACCGCGAACTGCCGCTGGAGTCGCGCCGCCAGCCCGGCCACCGACTGGCGGAAGAAGCGGTAGCGGTCGGGGAGCCCGAGCCCGAGACGGCGCCGCTGCGCGCCGGGTCCCGCGGCCTGGCCGGGGCGTTCTCCGCGGCCCCAGCCCGCCGCGGGGCCCGGCCGCTCGGGCCGCCCCCAGACGTAGGCCGAGCCAGGCTTGGCGGTGAAGCGCAGCAGCAGCGCCCGACCCAGCTGCAGGCCGCGGCCCAGCGCCTGTCGCACCGCCATGGTGGCACCGCGACCCGGTTCCCTCCAGCCGCCCCAAGCGTCCGGGACGCTCGGCACCACAACAAACTTCGGGGCGGTGCCTCTGCGCAGGCGCGGGCGCTGGGGAGGGGAGGGGGGGCGGGACCGCCGCTCCGGCGGTTCCCCGGCTGGGCGCGAGGGGGCGCCGTGCGCGCACCTGCGCGGCGGGTAGCTTTTCGCCCATGTGCACTTTGAATCCAGCGTGGAGGGGTTAAGAGTTCTGAGTGTGAACATCGCTGGTCCTGGGCAAAATCGAGAAACTGAGAAAGGAAACTAATATTTATTGACCATCACCCGCCGCGCCAGACTCTTTACATCTGCTAATTCATTTCATTTTCGCCTAGGAATGTCATTTTTATAGATAAGGAAACTGAGACATGGAAAGGGTGGTGACAGTCTGTGGTCACATGCGGTGTCAGAGCTGAGATTAAAGTTCACGTTGCCCTGATTGTTGAATCCTTGCCCACTGTACTACAGGGATGGAGGTTTCTGTGATTTCTCTTGCATAACCGACCACCCAGACCCACACCCACACAGGCCCGCTGAAGAATGTAGTTTGTGAGACTTGTCCTGCATGAGTGACCTTGGGAGCCTGGTTAGTTGACATTAGCTCGCCTCCAGGTCAGAACTGGCCCTTGTGGGGGTGACTGGGTGGCTCAGTCAGTTGAGCGTCTCTGCCTTCGGCTCAGGTCATGAGCTCAGGGTCCTGGGATCGAGTCCCAACTTGGTCTCCCTGCTCAGCGGAGAGTCTGCTTCTTCCTCTCCCTCTGCCCTTTGTTCCCCCCCACCACACTCCGGCTTGTGCTTTCTCTCTCTCAAATAAATAAATAAAATTAAAAAAAAAAAAAACTAGCTTTCTGGTCCAGACACCAAAGAGCTATAAATCTTGCCTTATATCCCCTTTGGGTCTAGGCTGGACTGGCCACCCAGGATGGAATCTGGGAGGGGAGGGCAAACACATCTAGCCCAGGCTCCTTGAAGATGTAAAGACATGATAAGAGAGGAATGCATCTTGCTCCAAAGTGCATGTAGGCAAACAAATGTTTAACTTCACACTCCATTATTTTGCCATATAAATCTGGCCTTTATGAGGATGGTCAGTTAAAAGTCTCACTTGAGGGGAGGATGCTCCACCCAGGCCTTTCAATGGGGACTCCAGCCTGGCTGTCTCCACGGGGCTTCCCCAGCTGATGAGGTTGGCTGTTTTAAGTACCCGATCTGATGTAACTTCGCCTTATTCTCCTTTACTACTTACTAGTACACTTGTTGATTTGTAGATTCCTTTGTTTTTCCCTTTCCACTTGTTTCTACTCAGTTTTTATAATAGCAATAAAGTTTTCCTTTCTCAAAACTGCAAGTACAGCTATCGTGAATTCCTTTTTCTTTCTTTTTAAAGATTTTATTTATTTGACAGAGACACAGCAAGAGAGGGAATACAAACAGGGGGAGTGGGAGAGGGAGAAGCAGGCCTCCCGAGGAGCAGGGAGCCCGATGTGGGGCTTGATCCCAGGACCATGAGATCATGACCTGAGCCGAAGGCAGATGCTTAATGACTGAGCCACCCAGGGGCCCCTCGTGAATTCCTTTTTCAAAACACCCACTGCACTCCTCATGCCCTTAGGCTCCTCTCTACAAGCCCACAGTCCTCTTTCCCTTCTTAGGACCCCCCAAGAGAAATCTCACCCAAAGTCCATGTTTTTCTGATGAGTAAGCTAAGGTCCCAAGACAAGGAGCAATCTGTCCAAAGTCACACTGCCTGTTAGTGGCAGAGCTGTGTTACCCAAAGCCACTGCTAGGAATGGCTAATAGGGGATTTGTACTGAGTGATTTCTTTTTTCTTTCCTTTTCTTGACTTTGTTTTTAATGGGAAATTTCAAACATACACAAAAAATAGAATTTAGTGAACCCTATGTACCTGTTATCCGGCTTCAACAACTACCGACAAACAGCCGTTATTTTATTTATTTATACCTTTCTACTAACCCTCCCTCCCATTACTTTAAAGCAAATCCCAGGCATTACATTTCATTTATAAATACTTTAGTATCTATCTCTAAGAGATAACAATTCTTAAAAAAAAAACCCAACCCATTAACCATACTATTACCATCTCTAAAAAGATTAACATGAACTCAATAATATCATTTACTCTCCAGTTGATACTCAGATTTCCCCATTGTTTTATTTTGTTTTACAGTTATTCAGATTGGGATCCAAACAAGGTCTACATAATTTATTTGGGTCAGTGAGTTATTTTCTTTTTTTTTTTTTAAGATTGTATTTATTTATTTGACAGAGAGAGACACAGCGAGAGAGGGAACACAAGCAGGGGGAGTGGGAGAGGGAGAAGCAGGCTTCCCGCGGATCCTGACCTGAGCCGAAGGCAGACGCCCAATGACTGAGCCACCCAGGTGCCCCTGAACTTTTATTTTGAATAGTGTGTTAAAGTTCACAAAGTTTACTCAACTGTCTTTGAACTTAGTGGTTTCCAACAAATACATGTTAATAATGAGCCTTGCTGTATCATAAACCTGGAGTTGAACTTCTCTCTGCAGTAGCACACATCCGAGTCAGCCTATTTTGGAAGCAGAGGATGGGACTTACCATTGTTTAGGGCCAGCCAACATTCGGGAGCATCTTCACTTCAATTCTCCTGATGATGGTGTGGTGGGAGAGGCAGGACCCAAGAGAGAGCAAAAGGTTTCAATCCCTTTCTTCCACCTTCAATACGAAGTCAAGGGACGTGTAAATGCTGGAGGGAGTCTTCAGTCATCTAAAGAGTTCTGGCGCCCAGGCTTGCTTGGCCGTGGGGTGGGCCCCTGGCTAGACATAGGTAGTCAACTGTTTCAGCTGTGTGTGTGTGTGTGTGTGTGTGTGTGTGTGTGTGTTCTGATCTCTTTTATCAGGAGAAATTGCAGGGCCCTGGTGATATCCCATCATATTAATTTAGGAGAGATATACATAGATAAATAGATGAGTTTCTTTCCTATTTCTAGGGGCACGTAGAAATCAGATATTGTCATTTTCTTTTTGATGGATCTCAGAGAATTTTAAGTTACAATTTAAAATGCTCCATTGAAACTGTCCTTTGGAGAAAGCTAAGGAAGAGAAGGCTGGAGAAAGCTCACACTCCTGTAATCTCAGGCTCATCCATGGAAACCTAGTCGGGGCAAAGGTCTCATTTAAAGTTTACATCTATTCATCTGCTGTGTGTCATTGTCATTACAGCCCTTCTCTTTAATGTTTACTGAGAACGAACAAGAGGTTCTCTGAGAGATTTAATGTTTTAACTACAAGGGTTTTCTTTACTCTCCTAGAAATGGAACATTTTACCATAAGGCTTGTGATGATTTACACAGTGTGTAAGAGGTATTCACTAAAGGGGCATTGTATTGGTGTTTTTGAATAAAGAGGGCATTTGTTACCGGCCTTTGGTTTTGTTCCCCTAAGCTGCAAATAACCTCGCCAACCCTTGATGCTTAACCCACCCACCTGCAGAACCGAACTCTCCAGAGTGATGTTAATTAGCCCTCCATTGAGGCTGTGGTGGTTTCTTGTTCAACAGAGAGCTCTCCTGCAAAAAAATAAAAAATGAAAAATCGATGTTTCTTCTGACAGGTCTGAATCAAGCACAGCACAAAGCTCAATTCTTCAGCAGACCTCTGTATGGAAAGGGCAAGCCAGTGGATTTCTAAACGAGAGGCTTCTAGAAGAAATTGCAGGGGTTCCATGTTCTCCGTTCTCAGGGCAGAGATAAAGCCTCATGTGGTGGGGCACAGCCGCTGCCTTTCTTAGAGATCATGGCCCTGATTCCGCTCGTCCTGTCGGTCCTCCTGAAAAGGAAAAGGCTTCCTATAGTGGCACCAAGTCTCAGGTCTCAGGGCATCCTCCTGAAACATCTTCTGTCTCTTTAGTGCTATCCCAGGAAGGTGAAGTTGGGGGTATGGTATGTGGTTTTCTGCCAAGAATGTCTGTGTATACTGCAGACAATGTTCTACACAAGAATTTCATTCATCCCTAGAACATTTATTACATATCAACTACGTACCAGGCAGGTTTTACTATGTTCAGCCATGGAAATTCGACAGCAGAGGGAGTCCTTAGGCCCCAGGACTCTTCTCTGGCACACACTGCTCTGTGGGCATCCGTCTTCTTCATTGTACCCTGTTCTCTCCAGGCGACAAGACTGTGTAGTTTTGGTAATATCCCTAAGAAGCATCATTTAACCTTCCCCCAAAGGACACAGGGGAGAAAAGCTGATGCTGGTGTAAAAATGGAAAAAGACAGGACTTAAAAAAAAAAAATGTTGAGGGATGTTTGACCTTCCCTTGTGGACAACGTCCTTTGGCAGGCTTTCAAGCTCTTTGTCTCCTCCTGGCAGGAGACAAATTTTCCCAGAGCAGCAACATCCTTTATCCACAGACCATTTCAGAAATGTTATCTCTAAACTGCCAGCAGAGGTGGAGGAGTTTTTGCTAAAACTGTTGACAGAGCAAAGCGGCTACGAGATCAAAGTCTGGCTACTTGGAATTCCTGGACTGCAGTTTTTGGAGGTTAGAGGCAGACAGTGGTGGGCAGAGAGAGAGAGATTTCATTGGGAGGAAGGGTGCCTGTTTCTCCTGGCCACGATGGAGGAAAACATGGTGGTGGTGGATTAGGGAGATGGTGTGTTGCTGAGAAATTCAGACAATCTGTGGCTCAAGCCATCTCATAAATTCACTGCCCTGCAGTGATAACTCAAAGTAGAAGCATGGCCATGTCACCTGCTGGTACAGTCCTTTGCAGGCTCTTTGTCCTTGCCCTTTGCCCAACCTCCTTAGCCTGGCACAGCAAGTCCCTATTTGTCCCTGGCATCTTTCTTGCTGTCCCCCTTCCTTGCCCTTTATGGTCCAGCAATACTGAGTTACTTGCAGACGTCCCAAGCATCATGCTGGTGCCTCTGTCTTGATTTACCTCTTTGAAAGAATCCCCATTCATAGGTAAGATCACCTAGTCCAGAAAGACTTCCTTGACCTTTCC